TACTAGGTATTTTAGTTGATTTTACAAATTTAATTGTAATAATTAAGAAAATTGAAACCATTTTTAAAGAAACATGTCAAAATTGATATTATTACAAGTTACCTAATAAATTTTACTATTCCTACGGCAAATTTAGTCATCTACAATCGAAAATTGTAATTTTTGTGTTGTCATAAAAATTTAGTTTTCTCCGTTTCCTATTAGACAAACGGTTCATTAACTATTTTAATTTTGCTACTCCATGACCCGTTATTATGAAAACTGATTTTACCCCTTCTTTAAAATGTTCCTAAAGAAAACTGCTCACGCAATTTAAAATTGTTTTTATTTTATCTCCTGTCTATTATTTCATCTATAATGACTTTTTTAATGTCGTTTTTCATTATTAAGATTTTGTACTCATCGAAATTGAACGAAAGGTCGTTTTTCAAGCAATTTTTCGCGCTCTTTTGGTTGATGTAATCTGTTTTTCTTTATGTAGTTTCGTTCTTTATAGAAGAGAATTTTAAATATTTGTTCGCCTTTTTATATTATTATTTGTGAAACTACACTGACGTTTCGCTTAACATGCCAGGAATTTTCAGAGATAATATACAAGGTCGTAATATTTTACAACTCAGTTTTATTATTCCAATTAAATATCTGCGTTACGTCTGTTGCGGTAATTAGCCCCCTAGTTCGGTACCCATCAATTAAACCATCGTATGGTAATGTTACCCAATATCTTATTTTAAAATCGTCACACGAATTAACTTTTGCCTTTATTAATAACAGATTATCTATGATAAACGACTTCAGAGATGCTGTTAAAATGTGGCGAATTGAAATGTAACCACATAACCGAGGTGTGGCTTCTGGCTTTTATAGAATTAAACCATACCTACATTTAACTATTATGTGGATGCTAGAAAATATTACGAGTACCATTAATTAAAGATTAATGTATGCAGAAATGTTTTGAAATGTTAGATTCTAGATGTTCATAATGCACATATGCGATGCAGTTGTTTAAACTTTAAACTGTGACAAAAAATCTGGAAAAGTTTAGATGTAACATAACTATCTACGATTATGTAAAATGATGAGGATTTAGAAAGTGTCACCACCTGCAATGTAACGTAAATCACGTCCAACTTTGAAGAAAAAAATCCACTGAAGTGCATATTCTCTACAATTAATACGATTCTTAAACCGAAACGAAAGGATACGGGTTTAATGAAAAATAAATACTATTAATTATCTCATACTTAATTTATGTTTAATCTTGTAACTATGTACATCCTGAATTTCACTTAATTCGCTACATTCGAAACACTTAATGTAATGCGCTTTTCTAATGCGTAACTTCGTAGGTGCAAAGTAATGATTGAAATTTTAAAATATTAACTTCTTTTTATAATAAATACTAGAGAGATGGATTAGTGTAATTCTACCAGAGAAAAAGAAATCCAACACCAGCAATAATAGTTCAATAAGTACAGTTAAAACTTCCTTAATGAAAATTGGTAATTAAGATTACATTGGGATAGATCATTTGTCTTAATTAATTATTTATTGATTACTATATTAAATTATTTGTTGCAATCCTCTCGTTGAAAATCCGCCAACAAAGAATTAAAATTTCATTGGTTTATTGTTTAAACGACTTTGACTTTTTGAAAGGGACTTAATGTGGTTTAGAACGCTGGTGGGGGTGGTATTTAATGGAAAATCCACCGGAACGAGGACATGAACCGTAATGGTAATAAACAAGCTTTTAACATCAAATGAAAGGACAGTATGTTTAAGTTTAATGATATGCTTGATTGAAATTTAAAAGTTAACGTAAATCAAACAAAATTTGTTGTCTCTGGTGTATTAAAATATGAAACAACTGATCTCACAAGAATAAAGCCTTCGTGATGTGTTTTCGGTAAACCTTAAAGAAAGGGAGCTTTAGGGTTAATTTTTGTAAGCTTTATCTCATCCAAGTCATATTAATGATTACCTAACTTTGTATTAAATTTACATATTTACAACAAAATATGTATATTCCAACGAAGTATTTGAAATTGACACTGTAAAATTTGACTTCCATAATACAAACATTAATCTTAAATTTAAAGTTGCACGGAAAAATGCATTCGAAATACAAATTGAAATAAAGAAAATGATCAATTAGATAGAAACACATATTAAAAACTACCCAAACACAAGTAGTAATGACATCTAAAACAGAAAATACCTGGAAAACACTTAATAAGTATTTAATGTTAATAAAGTTCCAACTTTAACTTAATTTTACGTATAGGTAGGTACATGCATTTACTACTGTAAAGTACATCATACACAGGAAGCAATTTGTTGGAATGTTCCAGTAACAAATATGAGAAAGGTAGGTGATTTACATATATATTGATGGTAAAGGTGATATGATGAAACTTTCCAGCGAATGACCGTATAAATATTAGTGGGGCACGCAGATTGCGTACAGCCCCCCTTTAAATTATATTTGGGCGAATAAAAATATGTAAAAACTTGCAAATTGTATTTTAATCTATGTTATTGCATAATGTAGCAATAAATTTTCTTTTTCTTTCTCGATTTTTCCATATTCAGAGCAATAAATAGATATTGCTGTTTCAAAATGGAATATATTAAGAAATTTTTTATACTATTCAAAAAATACACTTTTACCCCATTTAACATGTAATTGATAGTCCTACAACACTTTACAGTGTGATTATAATGTATGTACTAGGTTTTACCCGCAGCTTCTCTCGCTTTGATGACCAAAATACGCGTTAAAGGTCACCAATGATCACATAAAACTATTGTTTTCTATCCCCTCGGGAACAGTTCTTTTTCTGTCCTTTTCTATACCCTTGACAATGTGTATACAAAATTTCGATATGATCGACTGAGTAGTTAAGGCGTGAAAGGGTAGCAAAGAAACAAGTTAGGATTATGGAACTGATAGCAGAAATGTGAAGAATTTATTGTTTTTCTTATATCAATATTCCTCATCTAACCTTAATAAACCTCTATACTACCCTTACGTGTTTATTATATCCTGCTGAATTAATTTACGGCAATCCATTTCCGTTACAATATCATTTATTCTAAAAATTTACATTGCAGAAGAAGATTAGAAAATTTCATCGGCCTATCACGTACTAAGTGCAAGCTTTTAGTTAATTGTTATTGTTAACTATACTGTAGTTAATTAATATGTAGGGAATATGATATTTATGAAAATATACAAAAGTTATTAATGATTATTAAAGAAATGTTTCTGCAAATTTTGGTGGAGGCGCCGGGACAATTTAAAATAAAAGCTATATGGAGACATAATTCTGGTTTTACTGTAGTAGATTGATGAAATTTCATCTTAAAATTATATTTCTTTCGTGTTGACACAGTTAAGGATGCTACTTTATATCCTTTTTTACAATCAAACTATATTTTTTGGTGATATATAGGCAACTTAACATACAGCAAATATTACAACTTTAATAATAATATACTATATAGACAACTTAACATACAGCAAATAGTTTGATAATTAAGTGAATATACGAAAAAGCCGAAGTAGTTTGAATTGAGTTTTTGTACGAATTTGCTCGTATTAAACAAATTCCGCTAGCTTGAGGTGGGAAAATCTTAAAATTTTCCCATGATTACGGACCTAGAATGGTTACTTTTCCTTTCATAAAAATTTCCACTTAGTAAATTTCCATAGTTTGCTAATGTAACAACGTGAAAGTGCGATAAATGCGGAAGAGGTCAGATTATATTAATCTGTACACACAATGTGCAATGTACCAATTCACTCATTTGCGTAACTATTTTGGCCATTTTAATTACTTACAAATAGACATTGGTCTACGATATTAAACAACTTATTAAACTTTTAATTAAACTTTCTTTAACATTTTCTGCTACGCTTTTTAATGTTACGCTTTTGTTATATTCATTTGGGGGGCCCAGTATTTTGATTTTACATTGAATAATATCTAAGCTTTGAAAAAAACTTTTAGAGAAAAAAAGTCGAAAAAGGACACGGAATACGAACATATATTAGGGCAGTTTTTTAAAATAAAATAAATTTTGAATAACTCTTGCTATGTCAAAAAAAAAAAAAAATCTGAGTATTTTGAGTGTATAGGTGATTCTTTTAGTATCTGTATTTTATAATAATATTTTATATAAACATTATAATCTTTTAGTGTAGATAGAAACAGAAAATTCAAAATAACATTAAGCGGTTTGTATAT